AGTAGAGGTAGTTGTCGTAGACCAGCAGTATTGGTAGTGGTAGTAGTCGCCGTTTTTTGTCGTCGTAGGAGTAGTAGTACTAGTAGTAGTAGTAGTAGTAGTAGTAGTTGTTGTTGTTGTTGTAGCAGCAGGAGGAGTAGTAGTAGACGTAGAATGACAGTCGTATTCGTGTTCGAAATAGTAGTCCTCCAAGTAGTCGTGACTTTCTCAGCAGCGTGATGCGCATCGTGTAACAGTCACAGCAAACGAGATTGCGTATGCTGGAAAGCTGGGGGTTCAAGATGTGTGTTTGTCAAGTAGAGTAGTAGAGCTTGCAACAGATGAATCGTCAGCGTTCAAGGTTTGTCGCTGTTGTCGCTGCGAGTTTGAAGCTCAAGGCATGGGTGGGCATGCGGGGAACCTCTTCCCCAATTCATCACAGTCATAGCATTCATCACAATCATCGTCATCGTACAATCGGCAAGCCAAGATGAAGGCATGCTCCAGTAATTGCGTCGTGACACGTCCAGCTCGTCTTTTACTGGGCTTCAGGACTTCGAGAGTCTTCTGAGTATTTTGCTCCGCTGCTGGCTTTGTCAATTTTCTTTGCGTCATTCCGTCAGACTGTCAGCTTATAGCTTTCTTGAGAGGCTGGATCTTGGGTTCTTCTGTGGCTTACGGCTCAAGGGTGTTTTCAGGGTTTAGGCGGGTTTAGGGTTGAACAGTTCCTCGTGGAGCGAACTTCCAAGCCCTCGGAGCCGGCCTGGCAGCTGCCTCGAGCTTCACCAGCTCCGCCTCACAGGCTCTGGGCCAGTCTTCCAAAGTTAAGGGTACTTGTGGCAGGGGTTCTTACAGGAAGAATTGCTTCATTCATGTAACACTTTGGTCCTGTGTTCGTGTGCACGTGAGTACCGTGCCAACGGGCCTTCTCGCTGAGCTCGACGAGTTCACTGCCGCCTGTGCAGTTGGCTCTTTCTTGGGGGGTGTGCTGCGCTCTCCCCTGGCGCTAGCAGGAAGCGACCGGGAATCGGATCAGAGTGCACGTCAGACCTGCTGCTTGCAGGAGCTCGATCCTGACATCCACATGGCACGTCCACCGGTGGAGAAGCAGCAACTCAGCTGCTGCCAAGCATCGTCGGCAAGCCAGCCTGATGCCACGGTGACGTTGGAACAACGAGGAAGAGAGTGCTCCGCCGCTCTGCCTGGATACCGAGAGGAGAGTCGGCGTGCTGCTCACCTGGCCCGTGGCTTTGATGTATCACGGGGTGAGGCGCTTTTTTGACTTTTTGAGACAATTTGTCCAGAGTCTTTATAGTGTACAGTGCTGCCCAGCCACACTCGCCGCTGGACCCAACCTCACTTCTTAAGCGACGGGCAGAAGGCTAGTGGCTAGAATCAAACGCTGGGCCTCGCCGGGCGATTCCACGACAGCTGCCATGCGGTAGCAGGTTCGCACCAAGCCACCGCCCAGCCGACACATGCTACCTCAGAGCGCCAGACATCGCAAGCGTTCCCCGTCTCAGGGCCTCGAAGGGAGAGCAGGAGCGGGAGAGCCGTAGGAGAGCCGAGGTGCCAAGTACGGACAGAGCCGCGCGGCCACCAGGCACGTGACCAGCGATTCGAGTCGCGACAGAAACCTCAACACTAAACGGCGCTAACTAAAAACAGCTGACTCTGCTGTCAGCCCCTCTCTCCCTCCCTCCTTGAATGGCTACTTCAGCATGGTCACTGGTCCCTGTAGAGCTCGATCGCAGCATCTCACCAACGCGACCTTAGCTGCGATGCGCCCTTCGACTAGCACCTGAACTAAGAACAGTCCGTACCGAGGCTCGTACAACGACTTGCTCGGCCCCTTCAGCACGTGCCCGTGCGAAACGCACAACAGCAGTGTCGCTTCCCGGGACAACCCGTCGCGCCACTGATAGCACTGTCGTCCGCCCTGCAAGGGAAAAGGGATTGCTCATTGCTCCGCCGCTCCATCGCGAGTGCGTGAGATTGCATGAATGAGTGTCGAGCTGCACGCAACACTGCGGCCTACCTGTCCACAGTCCTCTCGACTTCTCTGGGGCACTCCGTGTCATCGCCCCCCCGTCTGCAACAGAGCTACCAGTAAGTGGAGGATGGACACACACACACAAACTTACGCACCACAACACACCCCACCAACACCCAACAGCAAGAGGAACTGACACGCTCGAACGAAAACAAGTACGCAGCTCCAAGCCGAGACTTGAACCCACCGTTCCAACCAGTATGCCCCGGCAACTTGCTTGAGGAAGGCGATGCCGTCCCTGCAGAGGAGTGTTTTGTGGAAGGGCAGCGACGCAGCAGCATTTTGCTACGGGAAGTCCGTTGACGCTCTGTTTGCAAACAGCTGCCTGAACAACCAATGTCTGACGCAACGAACTTTGAGGTGGGAAGTTTCGCTGCGCACTAGGAAGATTTCAACAACCGGGAGAGAGTCACGATCATTGTTGACTCGGGCACGAGTCCGGGCACGAGTCCTGAGAAGGCGACAAAACAGGATTGCTTCGCTTCCGCGCTGCCACGAACAAGATGGCGCCCAGTTTGCGAGCACCAACAGGTGCTCTTTCTCCCTGCTTGATAAAGAAGGCTTAACCGACGGTGCGCAATGGCGAAGCAGAGGGCCTGTACGGATGACTTCATGGCACCATGAGGAAGCTCGCTTATCCCACTCTTGTTCAGCTCAAACGAACACATCCTTGCTTGCGAGAGTCTCGAGGGGACCCCGTCTAAGTCCACGCACAAGCCAGGTGCGTATAGGACGACTGTGGGAGCGACGTTGGCCTCATCCGTAGCCCACATTTTAACGCTCCCATTTCGAAACAGATCCCTGTGATCAGAGATGTAGGTTCGTGATGACCGGGCCGCACAGCTAGAATGACCCTGTTCTATGATTCTATGATTACCATCCAGGCATGCACATACAAACAGCACGCGGCCAAGATCGGTCCATGGTGTTGGTGGCATGGACGGGGCCAAGTGAAGTGCATTGTGATGAGCGCAGACTTTTTGGGAGAAACGGCTGGGGCGGGGTGAACCACGGAGTCCTAAGTAAGGCTATCCCTAGGGGTGAAGGCAAAGTCAAACACGGCACAAATGATGCCGTTCAAGGCCGTTTCCCAGGATGCTTGAAGGGATACCTTGCCTGCATCAGCTGCCCGCAAGCCCAGTGACACGGCTGCACTGGCGACTCGAATCTCGAGCGAGACTACGGTCACCGCCGTTTTCGCCTCACGGGTTTGAGGGGTTCGATTCGAGCTTTCTTCGTACACAAAACGTTTGCAGCGAGGGTGTGGCTGCTTTACCCGTCGCCCATATGCAGAAGCCTTGGCCGCTTCATGCAATGGAGGCCTGCTGAAATGGAGTCAGACTGCGGGCACTTGGCATCCCACTGCCACCCCTTAAGGCAAGCGATCCGCCAGGCAGGCGGCGAACAACCGTCTGCAAGTCCTGTCCAAGCAGTCTTAAACACCCATCGTGACAGAAAGCCTTAATCAATTATGAAAGAGTGAAAGACAGGATCAGTCCCCGATCGGGTCAGCTTTGTCGCGGTTGCAGGCCACAACCTGCTCCGCTCTGGCAAAGGCAACGGAGTGACCGGAGTGACCCCGAGTTGCTTTGTGACTGCTTCTGCATAAAGACTTGCGAGCACTTCAATTCATATGTGAGGGGGTGTGCAGGTGCGACTTCACAAGCACTTGTTCATTCAGCCGCGGCTAATCCGATCCGGCCTCTGGCTTGTCCTGGACCGGTGACTGCACACTGTGGCACTGAGCCTTGCGAAGAGGGCTCAAGGGCTCTGCCCGAGGCGCTAAAGTCCTCGCCTTGACAGCTAGCGAGGCCTCCTGCTCTGACCTGAACTTCTCTCGACGTTGAGCAGCACGAAGTGAGCGCTCTGGTAGGGTCCAAACTTCGGAGAAGCGGTTGGAGAATCGGCGACCGCCTCCTGGCACCGTTTTGGATGTCTGTCCAGAGCCCGAAAGCCCGGTCTGCTCCTGAACGACGTCCCTGATTTCCGTGTCGCTCTTTGGCGGCCTCGCATACCCCAGCCGCCCCTTTGTCCGAAGCCGCCTATCTTCCATGGAAGGCGGCTCAGCCATGCCGGCAGTGACAAGATTACACAAAGAAGCCAGATCTGCAAGTGAACCGACCTGTGGCGACTCAAAAGCTGGCCTTTTGGGTCGCAAAATGGGTCTGTGCCTCTTCAGCGTTCCGAGTCCTTGGGCCAATCAGCAAAAAAAGTGCTGCGTTGCGTGGTCCAAGGACCTTTGGGAAAGCCTTGGAGCAGACAAGTCGAAGGCTGCGGCGGGTGTAGCCCGTTGGTGTGCTGTGGGTCAGCAGCTTGTTGATCTGTGGATGCAGCAAGAAGAGGAAGGGACACATGCAAAGACCTGAGCAGGTGGGAGCTTCTGCAACTTCTTTGGATCACCTTTCATTCAAAACTGGGCGAGGCACCAAAGATCGCACGGGCCCAAAAAAAGTTCTCTGCAACTCGCCACCTCCAAGCTTCTGCCGCCAGCAAGCCTCGGGAGACGCAGGGACTCCCAGCACGAGGCTGTTGCTGCTGTAGGCTGCATGTAAGCATTCAATTTCCTTATGAACTCCCATCAAGAGCTTATGTGGTCCGTTGATGATATCGTTCAATGGACTTGCAGGGCGGTTGGGCCAGACCTGCAGTGCATAATTGATGGTGCATAACAATCGTGCGAGCCACCCAACGGCCTCCGAAAGACACACGCCAGAGCCAGTGCATCTGCCCGTTATGGGGCTTGTGGAGCTACCTGTCACTTCCTTCCTGCAACTTCTCCCTGATCCGAGATGCACGCCGCTTCCGTCCCAGCTGAAGGCCATCACATCCCGAGCTGACCTTTGTGGACGCAAGCAGGGCAAGAAATGTTTCAGTGGTCCCCGAGGACTGCACAGTGTTAGGAAGATCGCGAAGCTTATTGCAAACACGAGCATGTTGTACCTCGGCAAGATAAACGAAGAGGATTCCGAAGAAAACGCATGCTGCAGCATTCAGGGCCGTGTGGAGCCATGAGGGTGCAGCTGGAGCAGTGCCTGCATGCGACCGCCACGATGCACATCCTCCATAGCCATCAGTTCCAGTCGGGGCCGCACTCGTGGACGTTTAAACCATACAGTATGCAACCAGCACATGGTTGGTCCTCTGTCTGCACATTCCTCTGTACATCCTCGGCACCACCTTCCGACTTGAATGTCGATCATCCGGTTTTTGGGTTCAACGCAGCCGGAGACGAACCCCTGTGACCCCGCCCTGTTGCCTGATGCTCCTGTTCCGCGATTCAGGTACGGCAAGCTCCGGGGCAGGATTAGGAAGCATACCTTGGCAGCACCACCACCAATCTAGCCATCATGCCTCCCACTTCTACTCCGCTTTGTTTTTCAGGGCGCCCACGGCCCAAACCAGCACCTGCAAGCCGAGGCAAAGAAGAAACATTGAAACAAAGGCGAGCAACGAAGGACAACACTCTTGCGATGTGCTGCTGGACTTCCGGGTGCCGGCCCAGGATGCCTCTTGGTAAAGATCCAACGCCACGTACGTGAAGCTCACGCCCGTTCCCGGAGCACCGCCCGAAGAGCATGTGCCCTCCCTGGCCTCGGTCTCAGCAGGGAGGTCGGGGGTTTAGGGTTGTAGGACTCTGGGGCTTTCATATGACGGCACACAACAATCACCAAACAGATGGGTTCCTTGAATGAACGACCTACTGCAGCTCTTTTCACCTCTTCGCGACATCAAAGTGGCTCGGGACTTCGAAGCCAGACTGCGTTAACGGAATTGCACCTAAATGATCGCACACGTGGCTCGAGACAACTGCTCGAAATGTGTCTGCCAAATCTTGGCAGCGGCCAACTATATTCGGGAGGAATCTGGTTGCGACTTGGCAGAATCTTTCGGATAGCCAGAGTACTGTACCAAATGTCGCATTGGATATGTTGCATTTGGTCTTGCCAGCGAGCTTTTTGCAGGTCCTCACACCCCCGTCGTTTCTGCTTCTGGAAGCTTACACTAAGCAGACGACACAGAGGTAGTACATGATGATGCCGTAGAAGACACGCCCAGCCTCAGTTCAAAGCCGAGACGGCAACAAAGCATGAAGAGATCCTGAGACTTGAGACCGCTGAGTACTTTGCACCATCCGAGATGATAGCCTTGATCATGATGTCATTAATTGTAAGTTGTTTCGTGTGTAACTTTCGAACCGTATTAATAAGCAATCGAGGCTGAGGCAGTTCCCTTGCACGCAAGGATGAACTGAACTATCTGATGCTCGTCAGGAGGCCATGGGACGCAAAGACAGAGAAGAAGCACCTGGGAAGTCTCGAAGTAGCTGGAAATTGCAGTGGCAGCCTCAGAGCCTGGCTGTATAGAACAGCACTCGCACAAAGACAAAGGGACTCAAAGACAGCAGCCTGGCCACGCTTCAATGCTTTGCATAAAGCCTCCACACTTGCAGGTCTTAACAAGCCCAGCTGGCAACAAGCAGATGTCGATCGGCTCATGCATGTACATCTGGAAGATAGACTTGTCACCTGGACATGCTTGAACTTTCATTGAATCAACGAGCAGCTCTCCACTCCCGGGCGCGAGGCAGGGCCAGTAGTGGTACAGGAAGAAAGCCCTGAACCTTGCGATTCGACGGCAACCTGAGGCCTCTATCTAGAACTATTTTTGACGAAATTCACCGCTGTTTATGACCATGACTCCATTACGTAGGCTCCAGGCTGCGCTGCTCGACGCAGCAATGAATTCCCGAAAGCACCACCTCAAAAAGGCTTCTTGCTAGGTGTACTAGCGTGAAGCACAACCCCAAAGACGATTCTGTGACGTGAACCGTGAACCAGTAGGGATAGTGCAGGAGAGGCGACGCCGCACCGCCTGCAGCTTCTTGTAATCCATGATGAGAACCTGAAACTCTGAAGTAAACCAAGGTTTTTTTTCAGTGCATACCTGTCAGGCATCGACTACGCGCTTACTGTGTGTGACAGTGAGTGGTGCGGTAACGAAGAGCCACCGGGTCTTCAACTTCCTCCTCTATGATACTTGAGCGGTTATGACGACTATGGTGAATGCCCATAGCATGCAGGTGGATGAAGACCTCAGCAGACTGTGCATTCTGGTCCCAAGGCCACAGCTAGCTCTCCCTTCTGGGCGCCCAAGAGAGGCTCACATCTGTACGCCAGCCTGGATACTTTGGATGCGTTTTGGGATTCATCTTTGAACCGGTAAAGCCGAGAAACTGTGAGTCCCCCGGGCCAGTGGTCAGAACTGCTGCCTCAAAGCTGGTAACAGCTTCAAAATGCTTCAAGCTGTACAGCAGAAGAAACAAAAGCTGGGCCGCTGGGGAGGTGATGTCATCGAGGCTCAAGGAGACGTAGCCAAGCCGCGTGTCGCCGCCTCAGTTCCGAGGACTCGTCCTTTCTTCACAAATAGACTAACTAGAGGCCAGGGAGGGGCCCAGGCCAAAGAGCGGTGCGCGGCTCATCACCTCCAGCTCCAAGTTACCTTCGAGTGGCTGGAGCTTGTGGCTCCGAAATGTGGACCGTTGAAACAAACGTTGGGGCTCGGGGCCGGCCTCTGGTTGACACGACGGGGAATTCCATGAGACAATTCCAAGCTGGTCTCAGGTTGCTCCTGCACGTTCCCAATCGTCCCAAACACAGAGTCTCACTGGAAGGTGTCCAGACTGTTCGGCTGCGGCGGACTTGCGCGCCAAGTCGTCCGCGCCTCTTCATCACGGGTCTGGGAAGGAGAAAGAGAGGAGATCCGAATCTGCGTCGCTCAGTATCAGGCACGTAAGGGTTCGTGCCAATACCGTGTACTGGCACCAGGTCGCGAGCCTCGACCACCAGCACCTGCCAAGAGCGGCTGAACCACCCAATGCAACACTCGGCAGTGCCCGGCAGGTGTCCACACAACCCGGTGCCTGCAAGATTCCAGTGGCCTCAGGAAAATCGATAAAAAAAAGATCTGGTACATGCCATATCGCATGTCCCGAGCTCCCTCAGCAACCTGTGCCCGTGGCTATGTCAGGAGCGGCTGCAAGTTCTTCCTCTCGCTGCTGGCCTGCAGGACAAGCAGAATGCACTTTCGGTGACGCACGGGAGTCTTTGACAGGCTCAGGTCGTTGCTGCCAGCCAGGGAGGAAGCGACCAACCTGCAACATGACAAGGCCTGCCGAAACACAGCTCGAATGCGAAGGCCCAATCATGCCAGAGGCTGCCATGGCGACAGCGCTCGGCCTCGGGTTTTGAGACAATCGAAGGTCCCTTGGGTGTCAGTCAGAGCTCCAAGAGCAGCACCGAGCGGCCCCTGTGGAAGGCTGCCTCGACAAGAGGGCTGCACCCTTTGAGGGCACACCCAGAAAGTGTAGGAACTCTTGAGATTGCTCCGTTTCAGGCGTTTGCAGGGGCTTCGTTCAACAAGAATCTTCGCTGTACGATCCAAGGCTTGCCTGTCGACTCCTCCTCATCGTCCTCCTGCCGCCTACCGGACGACGCGTCCAGCCTCGGTCCGACTGCACTGTGGGAGGATTCTGTCAGCCAGATGACACAGGCGTCATGCTGGCAGGAAGCACGCTCTGGATCGCTGCAACAGAATTTTCTCAAAGTGTAACATGCCGGCAAGCTGCTCAAGTTCAACGACCATGTCGGCCCAGAAAACCTGCCAAGAGTAGGGATCCGAGCCCAGACAAGTTCATAAAATTCTGTCTTTAGGCTGACCGTTTCCACTTGCAGCCATGCCACTCGCACCAGGGACGTGATCAAGCTTTGCAGCGCATCGGGCATAGCAGGATCCTCGTCATGGAAGGTCAAGGAGAACATCGCGTGCAGTTTCGGAGCCCTTCGTCGTAAAGATAATGGTACCCTTGAATCAGTAGTGTAGCGTCTCTCCTTCGTGCACTGCTCCAGGACATGCTGCTGCATCTCATCCTGACAGCCATCTCCCATTGCAGCAGGTGACCCAGCATATCCCGCATGCAATGCAGGCAAGTGGCCAAAAGGCGCCGGCGCGCGCTCTTGGAGAGCAGCAGTGGCAGAAAAGGTACGTTCATGGCCTTCAAACTTCGGATCTCACTCACGGCAATCGCCCGATCGCAGAAATCATACCATGGATGGGCCTGGGGATATTTGTCTTGATCTGTGAGTCTAGGTCTGGCTTCTTATAGGGTCTTGCAATGACCTTCTCTTTCCTAATGTGGAGGCCTGATCTTGAACAACCCCCAGACGGAGTTTACAATCTATCCCATACTGGACTTGATGCAAGTGCAGTCGTAACAACTGCCTCGAAGCGCAGTTCGCGTTGTCAAGGCCGGAAGGCTACATGCTGAGGCACAAAACTTGGTGCTTGCTATATCTGGCCCGAGGATTGAAGGCATGTTCCTTCTTGTCACTAGTTTTGGGATTGATCTTGCGACTGAGACACTGAGACAAGACGACCTTGCTGCTTGCGTAATGCTTTGGCGTTTGAGCCTGCCGGTGATGGCAATGAGGGACTCACTAGCGGTTCAGGGTTTAGGGCTTCGGGGCTTTTGGGTTTCTTTCGGGTTGCACCGGAAATCCTTCGCTGGTGGATCCATGGCATTCACGGTGTCCCAGGCACGTGGTGCTCCAGGCAGGTATCGGAGATCCTGGCCAGCACACAAAGCAGTTTGGTGAGCTTGAGCCTTCTCGCCAGTGATTGCCACTGATGCTCCGAATTGATGCTTGAGGGTTGAACTTGTTGTGCAGTGGGATGACTGTCAGCCGTTTTCTCAAAGCGGTTGTGGTGCAATGACTTCGCAGTAAACAAAGCTGGCCACCTCGAGGGATCCCGGTTTCCCGCTGTCTGCTGCTTTGCATGGCAGAGAGTTCCCATAGCAATCCTTGCAAGGACAGTCGAGCATCGCACCATGGCAGAAAAGCGCCTTTGCTGAAGTCCAGACATACTGCACTGCGGAAGCAGCCGGCTTCGAGCTGTCCCTGGAGCCGTGCGCAATCGAGATAAAGAAAGCATTCGCCACTTCAACGGAAGCTGGCCTCTGCAGCTTCGAAGACGGCGACATCTCCTGGGCCGCAGGGGAATGTCAGTTTCACGTGTCATAACAACATGTGCAGAACATCGAGGATGAGGCTTCGCGCAGTGCGACTGCCTCGGACTTCGGGGATCCTTGCCAGAAATCTCAGAGTGAACATACTGCTTGTTGCGATTGCGCGCATATTCGGTCTCAGGAATATCAGGAATTAATATGCATCGTTTGTCTCTGACTTCTCCCGTGCTGGCAGTCCTTCGGCATCCTGCTTGTGGGAGAGCCATCCGAAAACGTCAAGGTACAGCACACCCCTGAAGGAGAAGGGCACCATCGCCCCGTTTTCCTCTTCAGTAGAAGCGGACAGCTGCACAGCGTTTTTGAGACTGCATTGAGACGCACTGATCCACTCCTTGCATTTGCCGGGCCTGCTCCTCGACGTGGACGAAGATGGTCATACAACCCAATGCTAATCCGTTAGAGATGTAGGCCTGGCCGTCGCAGGTTTCTGAAGGTTGTCCGTCTAATGTTCACATGACAGAAGCACCAGCGGAGCCAGCATCTCGGAGATCTGGGTGTCTTCCCGGTGAAAGCACCAGAGGTATCTGAAAGGCCGCACAAATTGTGGGACATGGAAGGCTCGGCAGCAAGAATTTGTGTCTGCCTGGCAATTCTTTTTCAAGATCGGCTCGCACTTAGCCCGGATGTCTGCCCCAATCCCCAACACCCGATCCCACCAGACACGGCGCACGAGGCCACGTAGCTCATCAGCGGCCCGACTGCCACCAGAAGTTGTACCATGCGCTGCTGGAAGTTCGGACTTGGCAGGGACGGCCCAAGAATCCATCCGAAGGCTGTAACCAAAGGGGTAAGAACATCAACCCCAACACTCTGTCCGATTACAGACTCACAGGGGAGAACGGAGTAAGAGTCCAGAACCGCGTGCACAAAACATACACTTGGGTCCCGGGCAGGCTCAGATCCACTCGGGCAACGACCTGTCCAAGGGTAGGGGCTGAAGGCCGGTAGCTTCCGGTTTCGATGACGACACAACGGGGACAAGCGCAAAGTACTTGTTGAGATCGTTGATTTCTGCAAGTCTCCCGGCCGCTTCACCAGCAAGGTATCCAGGAGATTTAATTGGAACCCGGGATAAACGATTCACTGCCGAGCTGTCAGCACCCTTGCCACGTGGATGTACCAAAACAGCAGTGGAGTTGCCTTCGAAGGTCAGAACCCCTAGCCGCATGTGTATCTGAAGTAGGCAACGTTTGTCAATGCTCGGCTACTCACTATCCACACAGCCGAGTTGCAACAGATCACAGTCGTATGATGCAATAGCATGCCGGCAGCCCTCTGTACAGAAGACGGGGACCGGCAGATTGCATGACAAGCGCCTCATGACTTCGTCACTGGTCTCGAGTCCTTACCTGCTTCTGCGTGGCACGCAGCAGCGTGTGGCATGAAGCACAAGAAAGCTCAGCCGTGCTGGAGGAAACAGCTTCTGCTTCTGCAGGCACAAACAGCCTGTAAAAACATACGGGTCCAGCCAGCGTCAAGTTGCGGATGGGCAATTCTGATCACGGGACTTTAGTTGGAGTCTCCATCTAAATGTGGCAGACAACGCTGGATCCGAAGCCCAACCACCCAAGTTCTCAGCTCAGTTAAGCATGCATTTGCCTCAGTTGCATCGCACAAGGGGGGGTTATGCCGGTCTTGGGATGGCAGCTGATGCAGACAAATGGCTTTTTCAACTCCTCGCTCTTGAACAGCATGAGCTGGACAGCGGGCATGTCTCCACTCTATGCTAACGATGTGGAACTGCTCTCGACGAGAAATTCCCATCCACGGGTGCCTCGAACTCTTTGACATCTATCCAACCGTCCCTGTCCACGTCAAACTGCTCAACCAGCTGCTTCGCCTGCGAGGCTCCCGCTCCCGAGTTGCTGTTGTCGCCGTAACGGCGACACATGGCGACACCTTCCCCTCATCGATGCTGAAGCCGCGCATCAGGTCTTGCACCCCGAGCTTGCCATCCCTCATCGAAGGAAAAGGTTGCTTGTTAAACAGCGCCGATCGCCGAAAAACACCGCAGCACATCTGACTTGCAATCTGGGCGCTTGTTTTTGTCCATGCCGAAGAAGAATTCCTTGGCACGGACCGCGCCGAGCATCACCGGCGGGTTTACGCCAAGAACTGGAGCATCCGACAACTGCAGACACTACGAGCACTGCAAACGAAACCCTAAACTTCCCTCAACTTCCACAAGCCCCAAATCGCAAACACTAAACTTGCCGGGGTGGGAACTTTTGTTTCGTCGAAGAAAGAGTCTGCCTCGGGCTCCTTCGCGGCCTGACAGCAGCAGCCGCGGCACTTCTCTATGGTCTATGTAACATGCAGAAGTGTGCGTATAAAAACATGCATGCATGCACGCATGCATGCATACATGCATACTATCTATGCAGAGGAACTTGTGTCTGCGTGTATGCATGCATGTGTGCCACCAGAGATTTAGGTCGGCAGGAAGCGGCCTCCTTTGACCATTGCTTGAAGAAGTCGTTGCCCTTGTTGTCCACAACCTGATGCAGCCCGGCCAGAACATGTGCAGCGCCTTGACATTGAAAGACTTGGCGGCAGACGACGAAGGCTGGAAAGTCTTCGACCTCAATCTTCCATACGGCCTGGTGCGGTGGGTTCATGGCATCTCCGACACTTCTGTCACCCTCCATTCTAGGCACCAAGATCCACTCACCAAGGCCCGGCATACGCGAAGCTTAACGAAGAGCAATACTCTTTGGAAGACGACTCGCTCGCCTCCATGCCCAGCTCCTCCATATCCAGCACTTCCACCTGACCATGGAGGGTGCAACTCGGATGTTGGAGATATTTAGTCAAAGACCCTATGCATTCAGGTGCTCAATTGACTGCGAGGCGCCTGACCTCTAAATGAAGCTCGACGAGTCTTTCCAATGCCCGGAGGGTCGCTGACCACTGTGACGGCCGCGCCTTCTTGATGCTGTTGGAGCTGAGAGTCGCGGCCACTCCGCCTGCGAGGCTTTTCTGACGCTCTTCGGCACTCCTCGGGGGCTGTGTCTGGGTGAGCGGCCAATGGAGCCCAGGTAGAAGCCTACAGCCATACGACCGAAAGGGAACGGTTGAGGCCGACAGCTTGACCTCTGCTCACAACGGCCTCCGTGCTCCTTGCAAGCGTTGGTCACCGCTTTGGAGCGGTTGCCCTTCCTCTCGAACCGACAGAGGGAACAAGAAGGAGGAGGATTGCAATCACGGCAAGAAGAATCCTAGTCTCCAGTAATTGTCATTGCCCGTCTCCGGCTTTAGAAGTCGGTTGTGCGACGTCAGTCAGTCGTCAGGAAACTGAACCTGAACCCCTTCAAGTCACAGCGCAGGTCCCGATCATGATCATTGAGCCACCCCTTGGCTTTCAAATGCATGTCAGAGATCCAAGCAGGCTCAAAGCCCCTGTTAGCCAAATCGCAGTCAAGACACTGCGCCTGGAACGTGCCCACATACCTCCAGTTCATAAGAGCTGTGCGAGGCCCAAACATGAGAAGTGACCTTACGAATTATTCTCTGTGCAGTTGCAAAAGCCGATCACGGACGAAGATTGCGGCCAAGTAGCTGGTCCATTCTGCCTGAGGTCGTTGGCCCGAAAGATCCGGAAGGCATGCCCGCAGGAGTCTGTTGACAGAAGCGGGAGTTCATCTACCCTAGGATCGAACATTCTCCTGATGACTGGTGTAGAGCTCATGCGTGCTGCTCAGACCACGAAGAACGACGAAGAGTTTCATTGCGATTCTGTCCACCCGCCCCGACAGCACTTTTGAAGCCTCATTACACACTTGAGCTCGTAAGCATTTCGATCCTTGGCGGGGCCGGCATAGTACACCGGATACTTCTTGATGTACCTTCGATCCAAGCTACAGCCGTACTCACATCAACAACGCAGATGCTGCAGGGCATTGTGATACACTGCAGTGTCCCAAGAACCTACTAGGAATCAGCCTGGGGCATAGTTTCGGAGGTCAAGGCACTCAGGCAGGCCCTTCCCTGAGTCCAGCATCTCCTCGAATCAACTTCCCATCTGCTTAGCTGCTTCCAGAAGGACGAATCCCCGGTCTCCTGCATCTTCGCGTGCGCGATGTCGCGCGCAACGATGATGGTTCCTGTCCTCGTGTGTCAAGTTCTCCGTCCCGTCTCCCCAACCAACATTAGACATTGTTAACAGAGTCTATATGCACGGAGTTCCCGCATTCAGAGTACGTACAGGGAGAAAATCGCTGTCCGTGGCAAGCGCAGGCACACTCGGCAGCTTCGACTAGAACGCTTGCCTTCCACAAGTTTCCACAGTCCAACGGAGCATCCTCCAGGGATGCCGTCGACTCGATGTATCGTGCTCCCGCCACAGAGGCAGTGCTGCGCGCATCTTGGGGATGCTTTTGCGTGGAGATGGTGCTCCCGCCAGAGAAGCCGTCGATCCAAGGGGGTTAGGATGTTGGCGACATGCATCGTGCTCCAGCCACACATTCACACATCGGGAGCCTCAGGGTGCTCCTGGAATGCTTGAAAAAGAGTGCACAAGTAAACAGTTCAGTTGGGGCCACGTGCAGTGCAGGAATCCCATTCTCGGAGAGACACCGTAGGCAAAACGATCCACTCGGCGGGATTTGAGATTCGCGCAGGGCGAGTCTGGTGGCCACCGGGTAGTTGCTCAAGATCTTCAAGTTCTCCTGCCACCGGATACGATCTCTTGACAAAGGAAATCTTGAAGGAATCCTTGAGCTACGAAGCATGCAAAAACCGTGAACCGTTTGGGTAGCGGCAGTGCCGTCAGGCAATCAACTAGCCCTCGAACCTTCCATGATCACAACGCCCGAAATGGAACTACAGAGTCATGCCATGAGCCAGCAGGCTTCGGTCATGGCGATAGAGCAAACAACCTTGACGACAGGACCAGAGTACAAAAAGTCGGCTGGTGCTTTAACAAAGCTCGTATCACGAAGTAGCGGCGCCCGCTTCTGATTTTGACACCCCTTCTGCACTGTAGTCATGACGCAGGAAAAAACAATAATTCCTCCATTGGCTTGTTGAGATCGACCTTGACGATCTCACCTCAAAGAGGAGCGATGCAGGAGTGTGGGCAAGAGCCGATGGACTGAAGCAAGCTGCAAGCTTTCCCAAGGCCTCCTTTGTCCAGCGACTGCTCTTTGACATCGGGCAGATACCTGGCGGCATCTGCAATGCCCACAGACCATAAGGTATAACTGTCAAGCTCACTTTGCAGGCTCTGTCTCCAGCTGCTCCAGGAAAATGCCTTCTTCTGTGATTTTCGCCTCGGAGCTTGGCAGCCTCCGTGGTCCCCAGTGCCTAAACGGAGTTTAGGCTTCGGCCTTGGCCTGACGGTCTGCAGAGCAGGAGACGCCGATGCCAATGGGGCAAGAGGCACCTCGCTCTCAGTTTCTGAAGGGGTTGCTACACGTCCCATGCCACCCATGCCCACAGGCTACATTTCTTGCTGCGACGGCGAAGCATCAGAAGCTGTCACTTACTGTAACCGGCTACTGGTAGTGCTGCCACCCGATTCGCAGGCACAAGCTGGGTGCGTCACCGTGACGTGGCAGCCTCACGATGCGGACGTCATGTAGGAAGTACCTCCATGTAGAACTCGTCCGTGCCACAGGACTTGGCTTCTGTGGATTGCTGTGGCATATCAATAGGCAGCGCACTTGCCCCCAAACTGGGCGCCGATTCCAAGGTCCTGGGGAGACGCAGTCTTCCAAGAGGACCCGACAGCGTCGCAGCCACTGGCCTGAGCCAGTTTTTTCACCTTCTCCTGTCAGGGCAGTGTCGGTAAGTCCATCGTTCGCAAAGCAGAAGTGCCCGGCATGACTCCTCCCACTCCAAATCACGGAAGGCACGGCCAAGCTTGTTTCCGGAAGTGGGGAGCCCATCCAGATACTTGCAGCTGGCAAGCTTCACCTGCAAGTCTGTGCAGGCCAGTGACGGCGAGTGTTGGTGCAGCTTTGCTTGACTTAGCTGTCCACGACTACCAGCATGGCAATGCATGGCATATGTTCCACGGAACTCGTTCCAAATCGATAAGGCTACTTCGAAAAGCTACAACCACTTACAGACGACTGGGCTCCGGCCCTACCCCACGTTTCACGTAGTCTCTGCACCTTGTTTGTGTAGTGATGTGTTGTGTCAATCGTCCACCCGTCCGCATCCTTATGTTCAAGAAGGCTTTTGTCACGTCACAACCTTCTTGGCTCGACCAGAAAGAGCTTCAAAGCGAAAAGACACAACAGCGCGGCATCAACCTTCGGAAGATGGAAAGCTGGATGGGTTGTATGACGACTGCAACCCTCCAAACCGCAGTAAGCAGGGCAAAGGAAGTGAAAGCCAGATCCCATGATCAATCCCGCGGAGCCACCGTCTTCAGGTTCTGCTCCGCTGAAAGGCCACCGACGACCAGTGCCAGGTGATACCTACTTGAACAGCATCGTACAGCAGTCATTTGGGGGGGTTTTTCGTTTCACTAGGGAACTTGACTGTTAGTGGCTGCACAGGCCAGGGAACCGACCTGTTCATTCCAAATGGTGTTTCGTCGAGGTGAAGAAACATCCCTACTCGACAATACCCTCATGTGCATTCGATGGAATTTCAGAGGAGCCGGGCACGGAGGGCAGGCCGCTGTGCCGATGTTTTGCACCTGTTCCGTCACGAACTCGGTAAATGCCTGAGCAAGCTCCAAGTTGTGGCTGCCGACTCTCAGCCACCAAACACACGCTGCCTTGTCATTGAGAACACCTTTGGTCTTCTGCAGAAGCCTGAGGTTTCAAACGGCCAGTGAGGGTAAATCTGATCACAGAACTAAACCCTGAACCCTAAACTGCCATCGCAGGGACTGGGTTTTGTTTGCGCTGCCACCTCCTTTCGCGATGTAAAACACGTCATAGGAGCTGCCGTGCCTAAGACGAGTTAAACTGAGACCATACAATATCATATTATGAGCTCCAGCATCTGCGAAAGCAAGAACAAACTGATAAGGACTCAGCTGGCTCATCATGTCAATCTGCGCTGGCAAATTGGTTTTTGTGTTTGCTTCCTCGAACATGCTGAGCGGTGCCACCTTAGGCGATGGGGAATCTCGCAACATGCCTTCCGCCTAGCCTGGCAAAGGCTAGTCGGCCAACAGGCAGCTCAAACTGAAGCATCCGCCTGCGAGTAGCGCAAGTAGCCTTCGGTGTAGGCTTTGTAGATTCCGCGGGAGATAAACTCCTGGAGACTGAAGCTGTTCGGAGCTTAGAGCCGGGATGAACGATACCATGAGCAAGAAAACACAAAAACGGCACAGTGTTCCAGAATTATTGAGAGCAACGACTGAGCCTGAAACATATCAACCCGCGTCCTCATCCTTTCCGTCGGTGAGGACATGAGTTCCTCGCTTCACCATGGCCTAAGCTCCGTCTTAGACACCATCTCGGGTCTCGCAACCTGTTGGTACACAGTTTCCGCTTCTGGCAGGCAAGGCTTCTGGTTTGAAGCTTTGACTTGAGAAAGTCCCTGGGCAGCGAGACAGAATTAGGCTCTGGCAACGGCGGTGCCGGTGTCCTGGCACGAAGGCATGACCTCAACTTTCGGAACACAACATGTTCCTGGATCTGGCACGACTCCCGGCTCAACTTGTCCTGCAACTGGCGAAGCCCGGGCCCTGCGCTTTCCCAGCTGAAACCTGAGCTCAGACAGGCCTATGCGAAGGCCGGCTTTCTGGCTCCATTGCCTCTACGTGCCGTGGCTGAGTGGGTGTCAGAAACCAGAAGAGAACTCCCTTGCAGCAGTCATTTTTTCGTCAGACAGGCCGATGACTGAATGCCTTAGGCATCTTCGGGAAATCACGCGGATCATCTGACTTCAACCCTCTATCCTGAAGCTTCGAATACGCACGGCGTTGCACCGCCCGGCTGGCTTGCATGACTCTTGCATGCACCTTGGCTGCATCTGAATGCAGGCAAAGCTCGTGCGAGAAAAAATCGCCAGCTCGTGGTTGAGAGGATTTACGAGGTCTACCATGCATAATTCGCTAAGTTGCTAAATCCGAGGCTCCAACCACGAGCTGAACTTGGAATGCCAAAAAAAGCAGGCGCTGGTGGCCGTGCCCCTTTGGCTCTAGGCGTTACCTCGATGTTTGTTGCGTGCGAGTTTGGGCCTTTCGATTATGAGGCTTGGGTTAGTTTGTTACACTGCACATTGCAGCCGACTGTGTCTGCATGCTGAGTAAGCGTTCTGTAGTTCAGGGCCTGATCTGGGCATTTAGCACGAACACCGGCAGCAAGAACGGGGCTCTACGCTCATTCTTCGCAGATCAACGGCGCTTCCCGAGCGGCGAGCATCACAGAAGGACTCTCTGGACCGGAGCTCTGAAGATTTGGATGCATTCTTAGATGCACGGCTCCGGTGGACAGCGCGGCCGAAGAGCGGATTTGTGCGATGCTGCCTCAGACTGGCCCAAAACGAGATTCCCCCACGGATCCATCTCGGTTTTACGTTGATCTGCTTGCCAGCTTGGCACCGGTGGCATTACCTTCGGCCGCTCGACAGGCTCGCGGTCGTTCGACGAGAAGCTTACCTTCCGAAGCAACGTCGGCTTGGGATCGTCCTTCTCCTCCTTGCAAAGTCGTGGGCAGGCATGGGCAAGCCTCTTTCGTTAGTATTAAAACTTGTGCTGTCCAATTACCCTGTCGCTATGCAGCTCATGCATGGATGTATACAGTGCAGAAGAGAATCTCGTGGAGATGGCATTTGCTGGCCTGCTGCAGCTCTACCGCTTCCAGCGACTGCATGCAGTCTAGCCAACGCGCCAGCAATACAGCAACCGCATTCAGGGAGGCAGCGCATGTGCAGGCAAGCGTCACTTCGTCCCATGTTCAAGTAACCTCTCCTCGGCTTGCGAGACAACCGGTAAGCTGGTAAGTTTATTTGACTGCCGCCCCTTTTCTCCAGCAATTGCGGTCGAAATACGATGCGACGTACATGCCGACCCACTTCCTCGCAAGGCGAACTGAACTGCTGCAAAACGACTTTGTCTAGCGACCGAGTGCCCGTCCTTGACAGATTTCGCCTGAGTGCAGCTGCAGTATAGTACAACGATGCACACTGTCACTCGGCCAACGGTGTTTCTGGCTGGAGCCCAGATGCCTGTTTGGATAGCTGCATCTTGGTCTCGAAGGTCAAAGTCTGCAAGTCGATGCTGGTGGCAAATCCTTGGTTGTGGGTAGCGGGTAGCCGCTCTTGCCGCACGAAGGGCACTGCTGCAATTCTCTCGCTGACGAGGCACCCTTCATCCTTACCAGCGCATTCGCAAGAACCTGAGGGCGACGTGCTGCAGCTTCAGCTTGTCATTGCCAGCGACACGGCAAGTTCGGCCCATGTTGTGCTGCACCTTGATCTCCACTTCGGCATTGCCGCTGGCAGCCGCAAGCATACGGAAGAAAACCTCCCATGTCAAAGTGACGCATAAGTGCACGTGAACTCTGTCAAAGCCAGGGTTAAGGATGTTTATCCTAAACAGAAGCTCGACAACTCAGCCCTGTATGAGATGCTGCTTTCTGGAAGTGCCGGCTCCTACCTATTGGCCAGCAAATGTCGGAGCTTCACTGATAAATCATAACTCAAAAAAACATGGATCCTACATCCTCCACGGCGATCGATTCTCCGAAATGCCTAAGGCCTGCTCGTGGGAACTCAAAAGGCCTCCACGTTCTTGATGTCGATGCCGCGTGCCTTAGCACTTCGGACCACGGGTCCGATCAGCTGGCGACAGGCATGTTCTTGCAGTACTTCGAACTGCCCAGGCACAGTAAGGTATGCCCTGAAGCGGTGCTGCCCTGCGAGGAGCTTGAACTGCCCGTGGCAAATGCTGGACCTCTTGTTGGAGGCGCACATGACATGCTAGGTGTTCGGATGCAGACGACAGATCGAGGGCTCAACGTCTCCGAACATCCCAGTCGACCTTTACATGTCGATGCACGTCGAACCCGAGGACATCCGAGGACTTCGAGGGTCTGAGGCCAATGCTGCAGAAAAGGTCGATCAGTGACTGCGCATCCTGCACGTCCTTGGGGCGTCCCCAGTCTAAGACTAAGACTTCTGGCAGAGCTTTGGCTGGCCTTCAGGTGGTGTTCCATCACTAAAGACTCCAGGTCTGGCTGGGCCAGCTTCAGCGCTTTCTCGACAAAGGTCGACCTGAGGTCAACAAGCGCAGAACGTGCCAAGGGGCTGACTCGGCTGTGGGAAGGGCGTGACGATGTTCCACACCTCCAGCTACAGGCATGCATGCGAGAATTCGAAGCAGTCCTGTTATGATGCAGCCTATTTCGGGTACGTCACATGCCATCATATTACGTCGCGACAACCCGACTCCACTGGTGGTAAGGGGCAGGCAGATATAGTAAAAAGACCGACAAACACCAGGAACACGCCAGCGACCAGCTGCGAACCTAAAGCCAACAAGTGAGCCGACATGGACCACAGCTCAGAGAGACTCGAGCCGCTTCTGTCTCCCAGGCAAACCAAGGAGCTCTGCTCAAGTGGAAGATAGCAATCACGCCAGTCAATGCCGGATGTCGTCGACTGAAACAGCGTCAGGATAGTTCCTTGGCTTGAACAGTCCAGATGCAGTCACCGCATGTCAGAGCTGTCCCTGCCGCTGTCGTCGGCTGAGGCGAGGGACTGCCAACCGAGCCGTACCAGAGCATAATGTCCCCTGGTCGGACATCAAAAGCCAGCAAGCCTAGAAGAGAAGGCGAGTCCGGCCTACAAATTCCTCAGTCAGGCTTTCGGGCCCAAATTCCCGCGAGTACTGGCCCAGGTAGTCTGCCAGACCTTGCACCTGAGGAATTTGGGTTCCACACTTTGGTCGGCCCTGCTTGGATGCCACGGGTCCCGACCATCAGAAGAGCAAAGATGAACATGACCTGGGCACTGCGCGCGAAGTGCAGATGAACCATTGACTGGTCGGTACACCCTCGGCTTCGGGCGAAGAAGAGCATTGCCACACACCTCAAGCTGGAGGGATACGCAGGGAGCAATGCACTCCGGTATCTCTCTTTGATTCTCATGTTTTCCGGTTCCTTAAGGAGTGCAAAACCCCCCCTGGCTGGAGTTCTGCAGCTGGCGGGCCATATGGCATTGATGACTGATCCGAGGACGCAGTCCAGCATCAAGCGCAGCTCTCTGAAGAAGCGCAGGGTGCGAAGCACTCGGAGGACCTCCGACAAATGTACAGAGTCAACTTGGCTTGTGAGCACATTCACGACCGATGATTACTTGGAATCTTTCTTACAGACTTTAACCCTTATGCCTTGGCAATCTTGCAAAGGCGCAGCAGCCGGAGGAAGGTCAAGTTTATGCCCTGTCATCGTCAGCGGTGGGACCACGGTGGGACCGTATGCACCGTGCTCGACTCAGCAAGGTGTCCTCGCGGGACACTCCCTTCGAAAGCAGGACAAAGGATGAGGTGACCTCCACCAAGGAGAGGCAGACCTTGACAATGCCAAAACACAAACCCACAGTCTCCACTGGGCGATGCTGCTCATGGACATGGAGAAACAGATTTCTCTCCCCTTTTTTCATATTACACGACATCCACACACTCCTGGTGATCCTCTCAGCTTCTCGACAAGGCTGGTGTGGGGTCCGGAGTTCTTGTCATTGACGTATCCAACGACGTCGAGCACTGCGAAAGCATCCCCCTTCCTTTATGCGTGGCAAGAGTTCAACACCTGCCGGCATCATCCGCGCGGCGACATATCTCTGGGCAAACTTCTATCTTCGCTCGTTCAAAGTTGTTTGCACTGCAACATGTCATTTCGAACAAACTCGCATCGACGACTTTGATATCACGTCGCCGACTTCGAAATCTGATTTGCACTTTTCTGCTGCTCTCGACAAGGGGAACATTGCCGGGTGCCAAGCCAAGCCTAGATCAAAGAGGTTCCAGCGCATGTCGTCATTGATGAAAAAGTAGAATCCTTAAGTCAGCAGGCCGAGCGACGAGTAATAGAACTTGACGCACAGTACCATGCCCGCCATACCTTCTATCGAGCAGCGATGAACGGCCTCAAGCGCGAATGGATGACTTGCATCGTGCAAAACAGTGCTCAAACAGCGAAGACTAAGAGCTGTACCAACTTCAGGAGGATCTCGATGCCGTAGAAAAATGCAAATCCGAGCTCAATCCTGTAAGCGGAAGGGCTTCAGTGGCCATCGGATTTGCAACTCTTCCTGTGTCAGCCAAGGAACATCATGAGGGGATATGGAGTGGTAGCACCTGCAGCAGCATCCAAGAAGAGGTCGCTGATGTGCTATGGCTGCGACAGGTAGCTTGTGAGTCTTGCCTTTCCAGATTAATTAGTGGTCTTGTGGGTTCGGTTTGCTTGGTCCACGCGCACAACTGCAACGACGATGCTTCAAGCGTTGAAAGACAAGGCCAAATCGACAAGAGAACATGCAGTTGCTGCTTCCACAGCGGTCCCTGTTAACAGCGCGCCTGGATTTTTCATTTCGAAATCCGACCTTGGCAGATGGCAGCACCGATGCCGTTCATGAGTATGCGAACCATTTGCAGGGCGCAAGTGGTGACAGTGTGCATCGCCATAGCGTCAGCGCTAACACATCGCCATGTGTTCCAAAGGCAACCCGGGTGCTGGTAGGAGATCACGATCGAGTTGAGCAGGATCACCTCGGGAGGCACAACGGTATTCAAGACCACCCGCCAGCCGATCGACATGAGTCAGGAGTGACTGGTGTTCAACCACCCACCCATGGCGATATAAAAGAAATACATCTTGACAGTGCATATTGCCATTGTCCGAGGAGCCGTCATGCAGAGCCCTCCGAATCGATTGCTCTTCACGATTTTGGCCAGGATTCCAGTGCGATGTGGATCCCTGGCTGCAGAAAGTTCCAGGGGGGGAACGTGATTCAGCGATCCCGGCAGCAGGTACTCCTCCTACATCATTTCGTAAACTTGCAGCCTACAGGTCTACTTGCTGCATTTCTGTGGCTGCCTGAGTGGCGCGCTAGGCGGGGTAGGTATGCATTACGAAAGAGCTGGCGCGGCAGTCCATCACGATCTGATGATGCCAGGATTTACGGCCGCAAGGAGCCTTGCCTGCAGTCTTCGCACCACTCAATGGCGCTTGCAACCCAATGGAAAAAGAAGTGTCGGAGAGCTGTCGAACTCGCCATCTCCCTGGCACAGAGGCACGCTGTCACACGGAGGATGGCAATCAGCAGTCATCGTAACCCTCCTCCGCCTCCTACTACTCCTCCTACTCCTAGTGCTACTCAACTCCTACTGCTGCTGCTATTACTACTACTACTACTACTGCTGCTGCTGCTGCTGCTGCTGCTACTACTACTACTACTACTACTCCTAGTGCTACTCAACTCCTACTGCTGCTGCTATTATTGTTATTATTACTACTACTACTACTACTACTACTCCTCCTCCTACTCCTCCTACTCCTCCTACTCCTCCTACTCCTCCTACTCCTCCTACTCCTCCTACTCCTCCTACTACTCCTACTNNNNTACTCCTACTCCTGCTGCTGCTGCTACTACTACTACTACTACTACTGCTACTGCTACTGCTACTGCTTACTGCTACCACCGCCACCACCACCACCACCACCACCACCACTACTAATTACGACGACGTCCACGACGACGAGACACTGCTACCGAGGCACTGCTACTGACTACCTGCTCACGCACCTGGCCGAGCTCGCCAGCGTTCTCCGCGGTGAGCCGTGCGAGGCCAGCCCTGTTTCCAGAGGTTGAGAGCTTCAGCAAACGAAGGCCGATCTATTTCTGTGGCTCCCCTGTGCAGGCTTTAAATGAAGCGCCCACTTTCTGGGCTTCGGCTTTCTTGTTCGGTGGACACGTCCGACAACTCGGAGACTTACAGAGCGGTCCTATGATCTCGAAGGCGACTGTGTCGGGCTCAGACTCCTGCCCTTGAGTGACGAACCTCCACATCATGCGCTCGAATTTCAATCACACGGGCTTCCACACACTCGGCGCCTCTGCCCGAATTTGGGTCCATCGCGGCTGCTCACTTTCTTGGTTGCAGGTGAGCTGCCTTGTGGCAAGAGCTCCATCGCTTAGCGCCACATCTGTTTCGACTACAGTGACTCCACGCTCCTTACCGTAAACTTGCATTCAACATACCTCGACACCGAAAGGAAAGTGACAGAGCTGGCTGGGGGCGCCTTTCTGGATGACTGGCAGCAGTATCTCATCAGTTGGACACTCTCGATCTCCATGTGGTATCGCCAATGCCTCGGTTGCAAGCTCAAGCACCGTGTACAGCTACAGCTTCGGAAACTGGGAGGGGGGGGCCTTAGCTGCTACCGAGGCTCCGAACGGCTCTTGCTACTGGCGCATGACCGCACCTGTTGCTTCGGGGCCATCCAGCCATCTCCACCGTCGCTGACCTGTGAACGCATGAAGACTCTCCAGCTGTAGTAATTCAACTGGGCCGGCAAATTAATCAATTGTAGGCACGTGAACCGTGTGTGCGCTTTTGCCGTTCCAGCCTACCCTCTGCGGCCAACGATGGAAGGATGATAGTTTGGCGAATCGTTCAAGTGACTAGTCACTAGAAGATCCGACCGAAGGTAAACCGTCTGCAAGCATAAACCGTGCCAGGCCGCCTCATCAAGCTGAAAATGAACCACGCCCTCCACCTTGTCATGATCCTCGCGTTCTTCATGGCGTTCCTCTGCTGCAATCTGGCGCAAACTGTAAGAGGCAGGTGTGAAGACTGGTCAGACGCAAAGGCCTCCTTTTGCACGGAGGTGCACGGTACGGAGATTGCCAGGCCCTGCTCTGCAAGGCAACCCAAAACATGCTTGACATCGCAAGCCCCGTCAGACTTCATGGCACTCCAACTTCAGGCTCGACCTCCGCGAGATTCTGCAGACACCTCCACAGCAAATCCCTAGAAGCCCCGGCACTTGAAGGGGGGTTCACGGCAAGCGCACCTCTCCTGGCGAAGCATCATCTCTTGGTGGACGATGGCCAGGTTCTGCACCGGAAATTGTCATGCCGGCGCGGCTACGTTGGGAATTTGGAGACGAGAAGTGGCTAAGTAGCACGTGTATTGCCACGCTTGTAGTTGTGACTCAAAGTATTTAGAGGTCGTCCGGAAGGCTACCCGTTGATCCCTCAGGCCTTCAGCTGCAGCTGGTCAGAGCAATTCTGCTGCAGCAGGTGCAGCACTGTGCCTCCCAGCACAGCAGCACGAATTGGAGTCAGCGTCGTCCGGCATGCAGACTCTGGAAAGCGCTTTGCATCATGTAGTCTCGAACCGACAGAACAACGCATTCGCGGTTACTGGCCGCCAACCATTTCGGTTTCAGGATGAATCAATGCAAGGGCAGTCGGCTCGCACTCGCACCTAGGCCGTCATTGATTGATTCCAGCACACCTGCTGTAGCAGCACAAGTAGTATGCTTCAGCAACACAGCACTGACAGATACACTAACTCACTAAGCTACTCAGCCACTCTGCCTGGAAGGTCAAGCGGAGTAACGACCTGCGAATCATTACAGTTCGGAGAAGAAGAAGTGGGCGATTCTGAACTCGAGAGTCCGTTGTTTAGCTGGCGCGTCAGGCTAAGCCCTCAAGAAAAACAGCCGTGCATTAGGAAGAGCTTGCTCAGGCTCACCTCAACCAGGGGGCCAGTGCTCCGGTGATCGCCGCAGCACGCGGACTGGAGCGACATTTCATGGGCAGGGGGATATCTCAGAGCTGCGGCGGTACCGTTCACGTGTCTGTTGCACAGCTTAGGTCGCATTGTGCAGGTGCAAAGAAAACATCGTCCGAAATGCGATGATTGGTCTATTCTCAAGGTAACCTCCCGGAGCCAAAATGTTGAGAGCACATACTGTCACATACTCCATCGCATCAGCCAAAGATCTGCCACATTGCAACTACTCGGAGTAGTCGGATGGCTGCACGGAGCATGTCTTCGCCGTTCAACGCCAGCCCCCTCTTCAGAGTGCAGGCAAGTGGCGCAGGCATTCTTGAGCAGTTCCAAAGCCACGAAGCGGTCATTGGACGACGCTTCGGGGTCCTCTGAATCTCTGGCACCTCTAGTTTAGTTTGATGTGCCCGCGTCTACGCAACTCTGCTGCTGAAGTCCTTGAGAATCTTGGACAACATTTCCAAATGAGAAGGCCTGAAAAGATGCTGGATGTCAACGATGGCCTGGCGAGGACACAAAGACGGTAATATGCACCTCTCTCTACTTCTGAAAAGAGCGGCGTCGCCTGGTGAGACAGGGACTCGAGGACCTCCGACTCAACCTGGCCACTAAGACTGCTTTGGCATCCGCTGTCGCAGAGACTCATGATGCATAGCTGAGTTTAGCTGGACAAGAGAGATACCGTTGGAATGTCCCAGTCGCAGTACCCGACGTTTTGTGAAGGGTGCTTGAAGCTAACCCCGTCCGGCTTCCTCAAACTACTAGCAGCACGCAAAATCAGGCTTTTCTATCGTCACTCACCCCGCCCCGTGGAGTCTCGCCTTTAGCAGCTTCTCGCCGGACGGCAGTGTACCTCAGGCCAGAGCTCTGCAATGGACTGAGGCCAGAGCTCGGTCACCGAGGTCTCGGCAGGTTGACACACCGTCCGACGACAGTTTCCGGTACTGTGCAGGAATCACTTCATTGCTTCGCAAACCGCATAACACTGAGTGTCCCCGGGTAACTCGTCGAAAAGTCATTCCACACCCGTCGGAAACTGATGAGCGGTGGCCGCCTGAGTCGGGGCTTCATTGGCATGCCTCGGAGGGCACACACAAGAGGCAAAACGGATGCGCAGCCCCGTGCGCGCGCTTTCAGGCCAACCGTGACTGCTAACGGGGTGCAGATCGAAGAGCTCTTCGTACTGGAAGGGTGCAGCCTTGGAGATTAGTCGGTGACGAGTGAAGCAGTGAGAGCATGGCCCAGGCACGAACCCTAAGCTTTCAAGTCTGATGGGGATGCTCGCTGGCCCCAGTACCAGGACCCCGACCACTGCAGTACGTACCTGCGGCAAGCGAGACCAAACTTCGGCTCGGAACGGCAGGCATTTTGCCTGCTTGTCTGAAACTCTTCAAAACTCCAAACGCAGAGGAAGGGTCCTCCCTGAAGTTGCCGACATGCTCTTTTCATGGAAAAACATATCGAACTGAACCCGTCGCTTCCACGAAGTCAGGAACAGCAGAGACCAGACACATCCAAAGCAAGCGCCCAAGCCTGGGGGCCGATCCGAGATCTATGCGCCAGGAGCCTCCGACAGAGGGGCTCTTCCCCAGGCCCTCAAAAAATGAGCTTCCTCACTCTCGCTTTCTCAGAAGGGCACCCACAACCTCTGTTATTATTAGGAGATTGCCTGTGACAAGTCACGGAGCCACAGGTCCGGCCCGAAACCGGAAACTCTGCCACTGCTTTGCCTTGAAGCTAAACGTCTGCCACGCAAGATGGTCGCCATGGACCTTCGTGCCAAAAGCAGCTCTGATAACTCATTTCGGCCCGTAGAAACCATCGAAACCCTTGCAGTGTGACAACCGCCGGGCATCAGGCCGGTTTACATCCGCAGAAATACACCAGCAAAGCTGCTGAGAGCCACAAAAAAAGGTGATGGCTTCTGCAACTCTCACAATCGTATCGCACATGCCTCATCGCCTCCTCAGCTCAGGAATCAAATGCATCAGAGCGGTCAGAACGTGCTGCAGAAGATCACGTAACTTCACCGGTGCCTTAGGCCTTAGGCCGCTCCCCAAGCAGACAAGGGCAAATCTTCATGGCCTCTGCCGAGCCCATGAAGGCCAGGACGCCCGCGAGAGCGGCAAGGGGAGCCTTCACCTCCAGCATGGCATACCTCAATGGCTCGCATCTTTTTCAAACATCTGCAGGTACTTGCATCATACCACAGCTCCTCAACACTTTGGGCTCCGACCCGAGGATGTAGTAGCTCATGCCGAGCATGAGTTGGTTGATGCCGACACTCATAGACACCCGTGCAAAGGCGTCATACGTCTGCCAGTAGACCGCGGCCTGAGGGAAGCGGAGAGCAAGTTTTGGCTGATCGGACAGGTGGAGCCACATGTCACCAATGAGGGAAAAGTATTTACTCAGGTTTCATCACATCGCTTGAGCGAAGAGATGCAGGTGTGACCAAGCCTGGCGCAGCAGCTTTATATGCCTCAAGTTGGCGACCTGGCTGCAAGGCTTCACACTGCCATCACGACCGTGTCGGCTGCTTGCGATGGCAACTGTGAAGGATGGAGGCCCGAACCTCTGCACCACTGTAGCAGCCAAGCTCGTAAATTCCATCTCCTGAAACCAAGAACGAGCCAATATGAGAGAACCGACAGACTGCCAGACAGAAGGATCTGTAGACTGAAAGAGGGCGGGTGGGCACACAGTTGGACATCGAAACAGAGCGGCAACAACGCCGGGCGTTTGTTCCCGACACAAGAGAGACTTCCCTTCCAACTACAGCTCCGAACTTGAAGCTCAGAGTTTATTCAGAGCCCTTGGCCCTTGGTCTACTTGTCTGCTCTGTCCATGCCCGCAGGCTTGGAGGGCCTTCTCCAGTAGATCACATCTCTGGCTGGCCTGACTCTTCTGGCTGAGCCTGCCACCTCGCTGCTCAAGGCCCCAGGGGTCAGTGGCCACTCCAGCATAGACCTTCTCGTGTGCGACTCTGCCGCATCTTACAAAAATATGCAGATGTCCATATTGAAATATATGGCCATGAGACAACGCACTCCGATGGCATATACATATTATGACTGAACCCACACTGGCCTTTGAGATGAGAGCAACATAACAGTCCAGAAAGCAGGACATGCCGAGAAGATGATATACTAATTAACTAATTCCTACTTCTGCTCTCACTCCGACTCCGACTCCTACTGCTACCACCACCACCACCACCACCCAAACCCCCACCGCCACTGCCACTACCACACTCCCACTGCCACTACCACTTACCACAACCGCTACTACTACTACCACTACTACTACCACTACCACTGCCGCTGCCGCTACCACTACTACGACTAGTAGCAGTGGCAGCAGCACCACCACGGGCAGGAGCAGCAGCAGTAATACCAGCAGTACCATTGGCAGTAGCAACAGCAGCAGCAGTGGTAGTAACTGTTGCTGTGGCTGTAGTAGCTGTTGCGCAATGATGCTAACAAAAGCGCACTATTGCATATGCTGGCAGTGCTGGCTTAACCTCGAAGATGTTTCAACATACCCTGTACACCCGTGTGCTGGTGGACAGCCCAAATTCATGACATACGATAGGACACCACGCTGTGCGTTCGTATACGACAGCGTTAGTTTTTTATGAGCATAGGCCGCTGGGCTCTCTTTGCAGTTTTCTATGTGCACAGACTAAATCAACTTTCTGCCAGCTATGGATGCTATTCCTGACGACGATGAGGATGACGATGATGATGTGGTGACGATGACGATGGCTTTGAAGATTACGATGATGATGGTGGTGATGGTGATGATGATTGTGGTGATGAT